TATCACATAATATCTATGAATACGAATAGTTTTTTACTACTTTGTTTTATTTGAAAAAATATGATTCAAATTAATCAACACATATTTTACTTTTCATTTCTGAAATAATTAATAATTTAGTGTATTTATAACTGAGAAAAACAGCCTTCTGAATCTGTGGTAAATGAAGCAATGATAATCATAGAATTTAAAAACCAAATTAAGCATCACAACAAGTTATTGGGAAGCTTGACGGGCTATTTTTATGATGAATAAACACGTGACGATCAATAGATATTTTCCATCCATTGACTTTATCTACTGAACCCGTGTTCACAAATATTTAAGAGACAAGATCAGGATCAAATTTAAAAACTCAAATATTCTCCATTATTTATCCTCATAGATTAAATATTCAATATTAAATTGATAGAACTGGACTTAAAATAGCATGTTTATGAAATTTTAGAATAAATTTATTGTTATTTTTACAAGAAATGGGCATTTTACAGTTGATCCAAATTTTGATCTTGATCCTAAAATTGATCCTCATTTTGATATTTGTTTTGTTATTTGTTGACTTTATCCCAAAATAGGTTGATGACTTTGCAAATAAGCAATTATTTACAGTTCGAATATGTACCATTTAATTCTAGCATAATAACATCAATTTTAGTTTTATAAAACAATGAAAATAAAATCAGGATCACCTGATCCTAATCTTTTCTTTGTGAACACGGGGCCAGAGGTTGACAATTCGAAGTCAAAAACCATGCACTAATTATACTAGGCTACGCCCTCTCTTTTGTATCATAGGCAAAAATAAAAACACGTGCTCTGTCGTCAAATATGAAACCCCAGTAAAAGTAAGAATTAGCAGCTGAATATGACTTTCTATTGTTATCCATTTCTTTGTCGTCATAACAAGTAAACACTAGAAAAAATTAGCAAGTCTACAAACATGCCAACAGACATTGAGTTAAATGGGGTGTGGGTAACTAATACGCCCTGTATAAAGGTTTACAATTCAACTCTGACACATTGTCAATAGAAAAATCCCCAAACAAATTATGATACAATAAAGAGATTAATAATATCTGTCATATTTTGCGGTTCGGATCGGAATATCCGTCCCGAGGTGACCCGCCCATTGGGCGGTAACGAGGCTTGTCGAGTTATCGCCCATGGGCGGGTGACCGAGGGACGGATATTCCCATCCGAACCGCAAACATATGTCAGATATTTTTTCTTGCATATTCTACCATATTCCATTATGTTTTAAATTCTTTATGTTTAATTTCAATGGAATTTTATATAATTACAACCGTAACTACTTTCTTACAACAGCGTATGAATTACAACTTCATTCATAACGGTAAAATGACTCATCCTGAGCGTGCCATTGTACAGCACGCGACTCATCTGGCACCCCCCATGCCAGATGAAATTTCCGGCATGGGTAAAACTCACGGAAACGCCAGTCTGATATGCAAGAAACCTTATTCAAAATGTTCAGTTTTCATGCACTGTTATATACTGTACTTTTTATCGTATAGTATGATGGTTATCGCATTTGTTCTTAGTTCGTAGCTAGTTTAATGCTTTAAATATATGATCTCTAATGTATTTATACCTATTTCGTTCAACAAATACAGTTATTTTATGTAAATATCAAGAAGAAAGAAGCAACATTCTTTAATGAATTTACTTTAATCAAAAGAAGAAAATAAATGCTGATTGATAAACTGATAAAACTTAGAATGTTTCAGGCTTGGTATGATTGAGCCTGTCCATGGAAGGCACTGTAAAGTGCAAGTTACCGTCCACGTTCACACGTCGCCACTCATTTAGTTTCTTTTCCTACTCGAGAAGTCTTATATTTATGACTACATTCTGCCAACCCAAGTGCTAATTGCGAGTGTAAAGGTAAAAGTAAAAAAATGCCATATTTGTTTTCAATTTTATATTTCAGTTCGCAAAAATAATCAACAATTCATAATATCAAAGAAAATTCATATAAATAGCACGTGGAATTAATTAAGTAGACATCTTATTGATAAAACGAATGAAGCAGTTTATTTATTATTTAGGTAGTTTTACAATTCAATTCAATTAAAATTTTATTGAAATTTTTGGCAAACCATAGGCTTGGCAAAACATACAAAACAGATATAAATCATTTATAATAAAAATTCATTTCAAACATAATTGAGCTTATAATTTGAAATATATTCATTTTCAGTTTTCTTCATTGTAAAAAAATAAAATAAAATAGGTCCATAATCATGTACTGTTTAGTGGTCGTTGCGTTGATTGAATGCCACACTTCCTTGATGATCTTGGTTTTCATATTGAATTCAAAATACTTTCAAAAAACATTTCAAGAAGTGGAGCAGCCAAATTTCATTAAAGACTTGTTACTTAACCACCAAGTCACACAATTCAGTTGCAGTTGTTTTGTAATTGTATTAAATGGGTAAATAAAAAATTCTGGAAACAAAGTGATCCCTCGGAAGCATTAATCACAACAAAATAACATAAGAATTGCAGACTCGGTTTGATTGAGTCTGTACATGAAAACTCACTCCTGGGCTCCTGGTCGCTGGGTCGTGTGGTGAATGCGTATTTTGAACGACATCCTTCCCTTGATAACCTTGATTATCATATTTCATATCCTTTCAATTGCATCGTTAGCTAACCACCGGACCCAATGACTTTACAAACCCTCTCGCCTTATTTACAAGTCATCTCGCTTATGACGTTCTTAATTCTAAATTGATTCATTTTGATGACAAAATATCAATCTTACCTTTGGTCTATTTGCACTATTGAACTCTTACAGAATACATCAAAACGTATTGACATTTGTAAAGACATAAGACTTATAATGCATTTTGTGAGGTTATTAGAGTTAAGGAACATTAGTTCATGGTTCGACAAGTGGAACAGCAACAGCAAGAACAGCACAAAAACCTTGCATGTCTTATCAATGCTACGAGAGCTATCAGTCATGCATATTGGGATTCATAGACATATGTGAGTGGGTAATCCATTAGAGCAATCACATATCTGTTACACTTGGCAATAGATATCTGTTAAACTGATCCTTTGGAAGTATTAAAAAGCAGAATATCATGAAAATAAGTCAAATCTGATGTTGTTGATTTTTTTTCCACCAGCAAAAGTCTACATACAATGCTGCTAGTTCGAAACTAAATGCCCTAAAAACCAACAGTCACTGAACAGCATCTTTATTGGTCAAAATAGTGTGTCCACCAAAGCTAATGCCAAGGTATGCCACCATGGCTCCGAGCTCGCAACATTGTCAGTTTTGTCGTGCTGGACTGTCTTAAGGGAATCTTATTTTTTCTATTTTCTGACTTTTCACTCAAACATTATCCAGCTAAAAGGCAGAAGCTTTCGGATGAGTCTCTATCATTTATATAACTACTGATGTTAACTAACGCCGTACAAACACATCTGAGGATTTTAAAAATTCAAAATTTCAACATTTTCGTGTTAAATTGTTAAATTCTGCTTAAGCTGGTGCTTGAGGCGTAGACGGTAACTTGCACTTCTATTACCGTCCATGAACAGGCTCAATTTGCAACATTTTCAATTTTGTCGTTTGTGCATCTTTGACACACGCCGAAAACCTGTGCCATACAACAGAAAAACTGGAACAGAAGATCAGAGATAAGATTCTGTAAATAAAAATATCAATCACTGTACGGACGGAATTTTAAAGATGAATTTGGCTGTGAAATGTTTAAAAACTGGTCAGAACAGTATAGTCGCAGGAATAATGTTCGAAGCTTTGACAACCAGCAAACCTGTTATGCAAAATGTTATAGGAACAATAAAGAAGAGAACAGATCTTGTTCCAAAGACATGGAAATTACAACGTCGACAATTAAAGACATATGAAAATGAAATTTAAAATACACCAAAAATACAGTCGACCTTTTTAAAGACGGGAATTTCGTCAACGAAGATTTTACAAAAATGAACGGGAGTGTTTTCACACCGTGTCGTGTAAACGACAAGTCAAAAATTAACAAAACGTGGCTTTTTGAAGAATATGTTACGTCAATTATATATCCAAGAGGTTCACAACGCAATAACGTTTCAAAAACTACCGCTATGGGTAATGTCTCTTGTGGTCGAAAAGGGTTGAAATGTATGCTCAGGCTTCGAGCAAAACCCAAGGATACTGCCCTAATGCAAACCGCCACTAACCTCTATGCTTCAAACATCAATTCAGGCTACTACGCAGTCGTACAAACATATATTGTTGAATTAAATTTTACAATACAACATATCTGAACAAGATTTTTCGGGATTTCATTTTTGAGAAACCCTTTCTTCACGATGCGAGGATTTTAGGACATGTTCAATGTTTTCAAACATAACATGTTCAATCTAAACCTCGGTTTCGAGAGTGAATATGTATTGTTGTTAAGAAATGAGTAAGTTTTGCGTTTTACAATTGCAAGGGCGTGTTTTTTTTATAAATCTCTAAGTAGCAGCACAATTATTATTAAATTAGTGTCAACACTAGCTATATTTATTAAGAATGATTTTCTTCTTTTGCAGAGAAACTTGATTATTATTGTGACAAATTACCATCATTAATCATTTTACATAATTATATCATTCCAGTAAATTCCAGTGCGAGATAATTATTTGCTTTGAAAATAATCCAAGAAACAGCCTTGAAGGCAAAGTTGGTAATGCTGTATAAATGATCAGATGCATTGTAAGTTTTCATTAAAACATTTTAGCTAAATTATTTGAAACAGAAATGCCACAGGATTGCAATTATTTTAATAATTATAGCTTTGTTTCAGATACATCACAAGAACCAAATTATCTGTTCATCATTATATTTCTCCCTGAAAATATTTTTAATGATCACAACATTCACCTACTTAAAGTTCTAAATAAACGTAAGCACACCTTTAGTTAAAGGATAGACAAACGAATTCACAAGTTAAATGTTTGTATTATAATGTTTAAATATACTTTTTTGGCAGTACATGTACTAGAATTGGACGGTACAGAGAAGATAAAACATGGTCCTTGTGCACGGATGACACGCAAATTCTTGAGGCGTTTCATATTATATTCAATGGTTGTTTGAAGCTTATAGAACATGTTTCACGCTGATTATGTGTCTCACTAATGTTATCTTACAGCAATGGTTTTCCTATATTGCAGAAACACAAAGAATAAAACATTTTCTACAAAAAGGTAAAATCCTGGTATGAAATGATCTGTATTGAGTATCTTGTTTTTCATCTGAAGAATATTATTAGATCAACATCATTAACAAAATTGCTAATGACCTAACGTAACAAGACAAAGTGCTTATTGGTAAAGTAATGTTATTTGAATATCCGATCAGAAAGAGGATGCCACGAGACTTATTATCTACTTATTACATCTGCCTGGCCGCAATGAAGCAATTACGTAAACGGCCAAATAGTTCAACGGATTGCCGCCGTCATTATTGCTTCAGATCATTAATTGTATGTCTTAATTTGATTGGCAATATTATTTCGTCCCAAAAATTCTACTTTCTTTAGAAGATGAAAGGAAAAAGAAGACAGAAAAGGACATTGACTTATACTGAAACCATTATCTTCTTAAAAAGAGTTTTGATCTGATTTGACAAAGTTTTTGTAACAACAATGCATGTTTTTTCAATGAAACATAGAAATGTTCATCACTATGAGAAACTGTGTCGCACGTATGAACCATGTCTGTTGGTCAAAGGTCAAGGACAAACTTAGACGTCATTGAAAAACGCTTGTCCTGAGCAAAACTTCTACATGCATAGAGGGATTTCAATATTACTTGGCACAAATGTTCACCATTATGATGCTAAATATTGAGTATTGCGCTCACAATCCAGGCCCCTGCTACCAAAGTCCATGTCACATACAGATAAACCAGAAGGTGTGTACATGGACCATTCAGTCATCATTTATTGATGGATTGTAACACAAATTACAACTATCATGACTTCAAGTGTGACATATGTTATTTGGGTTAATATTTGCAAGGTAAAGGTCACTAGAGATGATGACAAAATATTTAGAGATTGTGCGGATATTGCCTATAACGTATCTCCTATATGCATTTCTATAAAGACCACATCTCTTTCAAAAGAGGATTTCTGACATTCTTTTTTTTATATGAAATGACTTCGATAGCGTTTATTTTAACCGTGCATTTAAACGCGTCAGTCTGATAATTTTTAAATTCAATTCTTTATTTTCCGCTCATTTCATGTTAAACTTGACATGATGATGCTAATAAGAAAACATTAATAGTCTTTATCAGTTACATTTGATTCTACGTCGCTCCATTTTAAGCTTTATATATCGTTTATTATTTTTATTTAGTGTTTAACTAAAATAAAGTTATGTTGTCAGTTTTAAGATTTCCGCTACTTCGTTAAAATGTTTTTTTTTGTCGACATCCTTAAGTTTATAATTAACAATTAGGGATTGTTTCTCTTATATACTGTATTTATCTGCTACATATATTATTTTTTAAAATACATTATTTTGAGATCTCTGTTAACAAATATAAAACGTCTACCAAATGTAGAGAAAAAATGAAAAAGGGAAGGACGTTCTGTGGATTATAATCCTTTAAAATGAAACTGCATTTTAATGTGACATGTTTAAGACAAATTAGCTTTTATTTAGCCATCTGTCTAGGAAAGTGACAAAACATTTTCTATTGTTGAAATATAACGTTAAAATCAATATAAGACCAATTTCAAATAAGATTGAAAGAGGACAAATTCTTTATCAAATACTCATTTGAAAGACTGTAAAGAATAAAAAGAATGATGAAATAAAAAAGTCAATTGGTTAGTTATACTGAACTCATTCGAGTGTGAATATATCATCTATATTTAAACTAATTAGTGACAAATAAGCAAAAGGTCAACATAACGGATGAAATACTTACTTGACTTTATTTGCGTAAAACTCGCACTGTTAACATTAGCATTGTCATTGAGATTTTGCTATCAAAACAATGTTGTTTTTAAAATCAACCATTCTAATGTTCATATATTCTAAAATAATTATTGAGTTTAAAGATGTTTAACAACAAACATTTTATGTTTAGCCAACCTTAATTTTTTTTTAATAAAATCATTTCGTCGTATAATTAATTATTCAGGAATATTTTTACATATGATGGGGCGTAATAAAGGCTTAATATATCAAACAAGTGCATAATTGTCCGAAAAAATAAAGAGATCAGAATCGTCGTAGGATAAATTGGGTTCCTTGGATTAAACTTTTACCATCAAAATTATGTTTTCATCACGTTTTCGAAGGGAGTGAGGATGAAAAAGCGTTGCTCGTTGCTTAGTATTGTTTCACAACCAACGTCCTAGGGATAACTATAGGCAAAATTTACGTACATTTATAAATGTTTCAAGTCGGGCTTTATTGTATAAACATATTTGATTTCAGATTCAGTAAGTACTAAACAGTCATAACTATTTGAAAATTCAGATTAGCGTTAACACAATTCAGATCAACATCTTATAGGTATTGTTTGGTTTTATTAACCTGCCAATTCCATACTAATTACACGGTCAATGCACACAATATATTAATCTTCGAAAGATTTTCGGTAATTTCCGTGAGATGTACTCAGTGAGATTTGATTAAATATAATTTGTGCCTATGGAGCAATTATACTGAGCGGTATAGCGGAATAGGGTAAGCTACAGGTTAATGATTTCTAAGTGTCCTAGTTGTTGTGAGATCGAGACCGCGTACTTCCAATGTTTTTTGGGGGTTTTCTTCTCCTTCATCTTCTTCTTCAACTATTTTCAACATTATCGGAACTATATTTGCTTGTTATGTTGTTCGTTTTGATTTAATATGTTTAGCGATTAAATTCCTTTTAAATAACATGCTTTCAGAATTAAAATTTATAATGAATTCGGATTAAAATTAGAAAATGTCATTTCAATGGCGTAAAACACAATACAAATTGAGACAATATTTCTTAGTTGATTCATATATGTGTAGACAATATTGGAAGCACTCGGCCATTTTCATGAAAATATACTGCAAAAATAAAGAAAAAGAGTAGGCCTAAAAACAACGGCAAAAGTAGGGATCGAACTACATACCTATATTAGACATATATTAGACAATCACTCTACCGTCTCTGCTATCGCGGATTTGACATGGCCTATGCATAAAGCTGGTGTGACTTTTCAAAACATTAGTTATTTACTCCATATTAATTCTCGTAAACTACACGGACAGAACCGAAGTGAAATCGAATATTTAAATGAGTGCTATAATGTATTCAAAATTGACAGGTCAATAAAATCAGACTATAAGCTGTCGAGACTGGTAGATGGTGTCGTCAAAATATAAATCAGTATAAAGATAGAATATGCCCCATCTGTCACAATCTAGTAGATGAATTTCACTATGTAAATGAATGTTTACTTGATTTTGGAAATAAGGAAATATTTTTTGAGGTGCTCAAGCTATAATTATTTTTTTGCAATTATAAAAAGGCAAAAACAAAAATAAACATATTTGAAATCTTGTAACATATGTCTATAAATTTTTAGAAAAAAAAACAACAAAAATTAAAACATAAAAATTTGATATTTTGTCAGCATCAAAATCTTTTTCATCTGCATTTACATAACTTTTTGTCATTTTTATGGTCTCTCCCACAATTATTAAAATGTAAAAGTGTTATTATTATGCCCATTTATTTAAAGAAATTATAAATTTGTGCATACATGTACATCAATAATTTGTCATCTTTCCATGTATTATTCAATTGATCGTACGGTTTCATTGCTATAATGCTCATGGATAATATGTGATTTATTGCATAATAAAGCTTCTTCATATGATTCCCAAAAGAAAGAGCTTGAAATTATTTAACAATCATTCTACCCCACAGAATTACGGGTTCCTATTCGTTTGATATTTTCTTGATATCAATTTAAAATGCATTAAATAAGAGGATATTAAACCATGGATACAAATTAGGTATTTACACACATCTTGTTTTACACTGGAAATAAGGAAACAAAAGTAAATACGAAAATATTCTGCAAACAGATAGTGTTAAAAACAAAATAAATTAAAACATTTTTAACATGGTAACGAAACATCAATAAATAAAATCCTTTGCAAACATACAGTATTTGATAATACAAGATCAAAAGATATTTTTTCATCTAATATTGCATTTTGTTGCATGTGTTATAATTCATCAGTTTAGATTTCTGTAGTCATTCAATGTAAGATGTACTTTCAGGAATTAAGAGATTTACAGAAAGTCTGCCATACTAGTAAATTGTCAGAATAAATTGCGCTGAAAGATTCAATACATTCGTTTTCCATTAAAATCAGGCATAAATTTCCTTTATGGTGATAGAGCTTAACTGTCTCAAAAACAGAAATCTGATTTTCAAGCACAATTCTGGTTCATTATTGAATAAATATGCCAAGACATTCGGGATATATAATATAATTTCAAGTGAAATTATAGCCATTCAAGTGTAAATAGTAAGAGTATGGGTTGAAGTCAAAATACACTTTTCCACGTTTTCAATGTGTTATACTGCTATATATCAATAACTCAGGTGACCCGCTGGAAATTTCATTAATATCCATTCAAATTTATCAAAACGCTCACTTGATAAAAAAGCAGGGCAGTCTTTTTATATTTGAGTATTTTTTTTATATTTTATCATCGACATTTGTTATTTTCAATTAATGGTCAATCTCCATTATAACAGTCAATCTGTTGAGATATTTTGCTAATTCATCGGAAAAAAGTGTCATTTTAAGTACTGTTGTGCATTGGCATATATTAAATATGCTACGCACAATTTATTATTATACGTTATTTTCAAACATTTGTGCGTTGCTCAATAAATTGTGTATTAACTAATCCAATCACTGTTAAAGGATAATTATCGTTTAGATTGAGTTGATGATTAACGTATTATCATCCCTTTTCCAGAATTGTTATAATCTTAATAAACTTTATTTGCTTGACAGAAGTAGCTAACAACAACATATCAACATGTATAATTTGTATATATT